AACATAAACATATTAACGCAGACTCCCTGCATTGATAAATTCATATCATTGATTTTATCAAAAATATCTGCCAAATAGCATAGCTTGAGAAGCGGTAAATTATCGTGAAAATAATCGGCCAAATTAGAATTTTGCTCTGTTAGAAATATAAGAACTTCATCTTTTAAAGTTAATAATGGTTTCAAACTTCGACATCTTGATAGCCACCTAACTTCAGCATGTAGCAATATACTAGTATGATATGCTACTTCCATATTTTCATCTATAGGCCCTACATAACAGTTTTGCATTGCCACTTTTTTCAAAAAATAGTTATAATAAAACTACAATAGTATTTTGAATGATTTTTATTTGTATTTATATTTGTACGTAGGGTGTATACTAATTTTAAAATTTTATTTATAATGATTGAAAAGTATCAGATCTTGGCGACCCCCTGGGGGGGGGACATTTTATATTCGGCTTCGAATGATTGTCAGATTGTAACTTTGACGGAAACGTGATTTAACGACTCAGTTTACAGTAACGAATTATCTCCTAGTCACTACTTAATTTATCGCAGTAACAGTACTTTTTCTTCTAGGGGCGGGGGAGTTCTTGTTGCATCAAAATTGGGTCAAAATTGACGATTATTTTTCACCCTCCCTCAACTACTAATGAATTATATACCCTTATATTTCAATCACACTTCGAATTTTTGTATAATTATAACACATTCTTGATAGAATAAAATAGGATAGAATAATTGAATGATTTTCTGCTCGTTATCAGTATTAATGATTATGGTAATATGCTTAATCTGCTTTTTTTATAATAACATCTGTATGGTTGAGAAGTCTATTGTTTAGTGTCTGAGGACAGGCATCATCCCGTGTTGAATGTTTTTTGCAAGCTTAACTTCAGTCACAGTTTAAAACGTAATTTTCCGATATTGCCTTGTAATGAATATAATTTCCCGAAAGCCAATTTCCATCTAATGTATGGTCGTATTACCAAGATAGATTGGCTTCTTTGAATGTTTTGACAAAGCCAATGACAATGATCTCAATTAATTCAAACTATTAAGGGTCAAAATTAAATCAGGTCTTAATAACTCTTATAAATTGTATGCACTGTCTGCTCAGTGTGAGATGAAACTTGATCCAAATAAATTTTGGCGTTTGGGATTTTATTACCATCACTAATCTGGCAAATATCACCCAAGTTATAGCTGAAAATCTAGACTTTTCCAAGTTAAATTATTACGGATTATCATTACTTCATCATTATTAAATCAATGAAACTGCACTGTACTACGCATTTGTTAGATCTAAATTAGAATACGCTGATAATTTATGTAGTCCGTTTAACCAAGTTCATTCAAGGAAGCTGGAAGCTGTACAACGAAAATTCTTAAAAATCTATTGTTTCAGGCATGATAATAAGTAGCCCCCAATGATATAAGCAATACGCTTCTTAATGGCATACCATTATTTTTGTTTTATTTTATGTTGTATTTAGCATTTTGCTGTCGATTTTGCATTTTTTTTATTTGTCACCTATGTCCCTGTTAGGTTTATCCTGACAGTGTATCTAAATAAATAAATAAATAAAAAAGGTATAGGAATTTTGTTTCGCTGTCCGGAGTTAAAACAACGAATCTCTTTATAAAGTTCTTTTTATTTCTGAATACATATATCCCATAATTATGAAATAAATTTCTACCAGAATGATATGATGGTATTGAACTCATTACCAACCGAGATACAGGATTATATTTAGAAATGGTAATGATACTTTTTTAAGAAAAGGCTGATAAAGTCGACCGATATAGGGCAGTGTCCTGATGGGTTCCAAAAATAAGTTTTTAATTATTATATTGGTGGGTCTTTTGGTTGATAGAAATATTTTTGAACAAAACGGCAACAACGCGTTTCGAAAATTCGTAAAAACTGCAGCAACTGTTCCATGAACAAAGGACACAACATATTGTAATAGCTTGTTTTATAATTAGTTCCAAGAGAATTTGTCATGGAGTTCATGTCAGAAGTTTGCAGTGTTTTGTATGCTAAAAAGTAACAATTTTCGACGAGATTCTGCTATTTAAAAAACATGGAAGGCTGCTTCAATTTATTTGATATTCTAACAAAAATGGTACAAAATGCTTGCTTCAATTCTTTTCAATGATGAAAGCTACTAAATCAACAGTCAAGAATGACTGACAATAATTTATAACTGTGGAATGAATTCAAAAATCGATGGATTAGTCTTACTAAGATGTAATTACATTATTATTCAGTGTTTGATATTATCTATCGTTAAAAATTGTGAACACTACTTTGAGACCTTGCCTATGTATTCAGACGTTAAAGTTTGGCCCACAACTTGTCAAAGGTTGGCCATCCTAATGTTGCATTTTCATGTTCGGTTTCAGATGATTCTGATACAGTTTTAGAAATTGACTAGCACTTGATTAAGAACATTAATAACTGACCCATTTAAACAGGTTTCACACATCATACACAAAAAAGTGTAAATAAATTAAAAATTTAATTTGACAACGACAAAATCGCCTTAACAAAAAGTAAACTCTCAAAGTTCTAAAAACCGAGCAACTAATTCGGGTTTATCTTTCTAGTTCTAACCTACTAATAAATATTTGCAAATCTAAAATTGCCTTTCCGTTCTCCTTGAAAACAACATGCGAGTTGATCTCACTCTAGATGGTCTCAATTCAATCCAATTCAATTTTATTTTATTGTTTTATAGTGTGTTTGTAAGTATTCCTCTAACAAGATTTCTAAAAGGTTGTGTGTACTCAACGTTACGATCAATTCTAACACATCTACTGAAAAAAAAGTGTAGGTGTAATTCCATTCTGTTACTTGTTTACTTAAAATTTCAAAGATTTTAAAACTAGACGTTTAAACAATTTTTGTTTGACTGTAAAAATAAAATCCTGAAAGGATTTTAATCCAACTTCAAAGTGTCAAGAGTGAGGAGCAAAAATTTCTAATTTTTCGTTTCATTTATCCACGGTACTGAGCTGAAATAAATCTTAGTTTTAAAATCATATAAACTCTTATCACTATTTCATCAACCCCATGTTTGCAATGACCTAATGATTCACTAGACGTTTCATAAATCTCAAGGTAGATAGATGGTGCTCGAGTCAAAAGTTACTAATCCAAAATTCAGTATTTACCACCTTTACCGTTAGTAAACTCGACCATTGTTTTTTAAAATAACAATGTTCGAATATTCTAAACACCAAATTAATAAGACGGGAAGAATTGTATTCGTATTCGTACTTCGATTGTTTGAAGTATATTGTTATTGATATTGTTACAACCATGCAGAGAAGAGGTTTTTATTTTATTACTTCGGATTGAAAAAATTGAAGAATTTAGATTTTTTCAAAAATGATCGCAGATTGTAAGAATAATCATTTTTTTAAATGTAATCAGTGACTCACCATGGTGTCTGCTAAAAAGGTGAAATTCCGTACGCCCGGCACTGGTGTATTTCAAAAAAATAGTGGTATACTAAATTATGTCTCTTGATACAATATCTAAAGTGGCATTAGAGATGTTAAAAAAATATATTTTATTTTTTTAACATTTATATATTTTAAATGGCATTCAATTAGAATGTACCATGTAAAAATAAGAATTTATGAGGTAATTATTTGAAATATTTTATTGCGGCAAAAAAAATAGCTAGATAGAGCAAAATGTTGCCCTATATAATTCCTCTAATAAAAAGGTTTGCCAATCTTTATCAGAAACCGTCCCAAAGTCGGTTACATCAACTTGTACTATATTATCTAAGCTTTATGAAATTTACTGTTTAGACACTCCAATCACGAACACCCGATATAGCCGTATCCTTATCAGCACGCTCTGCTTTCAGTCTCGTTTTTGTAGTTACAGGTACGATCGGCGAAGGGATGAGTATGAATTTGGACGAACGCAAGATGCTCATCGAAGCCTGGGCGAAAACCGTGAAGGTGACCCACCAGCACTTGATGGTACAAGTGGGCGGAACTTGCCCCCCAAACGTGTTGGAACTGGCTCGTCACGCGGAGAATTGTGGGGCCGACTCCTTGCTGTGCCTGCCGGAGATTTATTACAAACCGAAAACTACCAAAGAGCTTGTCGCTTACTTCAAACTGGTTTCTGCGTCTGCGCCGGAAACACCTCTGATTTTTTACAATTCTCCAACAATCACCGTAGGCCATGGTAAATTTCTTTTTTATTCATTTTCTTATACTGAAACCTTTGATAGGGTGGTGTACGGAATAAATTCAACTCTAATTGCCTCCTAGGTGCCATCTTGTGAGGGTGTTGGCCTTGATCCTTCCTTTTACATTACTCTTATTCCTTTCAAGTATTAACTGGAGTTCTTCTTATTCCACGTGCCGGTTTAGATGCTCCGTGCATGCTGTTATGTACTTACTCGTACTTATTTTAGTCAGAGTTTCTTCATTTATTTTCAATAACCGAGTTGTTCATGCTTCACCATCTATGTCTCACAGAACAAGAAAAGATAAACCTGGATAACACAGCTTATCTTTAAGATACCTGCCCTAGCCTTTTCTAAAACTGTTCTCTCTCTTCTCACGATTCCGGACAGTTCTTTAATCTTTAAGGCTTTGTTCATCAAATTATTAATCCATGATCATTTCGTTGGAGAAAATTTGCTTTTCTAGAGATTAGAATGAATGTTGACTGCAAAATAAAACATACAATATTTATCAGTTAAGAAAGTTCTTCCTTGTAGGTGATTGTCAAGCATTTGTTGTAATTTTATATTTGGAATATTTGTTTTTTATTGCTTTTTGTTTGTCGTTTTAGACAATCTTCTTAATTTCAGTGAACATATTAGATTTTTTGAGGGAAGCCGAAGTAGAAATTCCAACGTTGCGAGGAATTAAGTTTGCGGATGACACCTTTAATCGAGCTTACGACGTTCTCAAAGCAGTCGACGGCAAGTACGTCGTCTTCATTACCAACAATACGGTATGTGACATCATATCCTTTCTCATATGCAGTTATATAGCTATTAGTATATATATTAGCTTTATGTATTGTTAAACACTGCAGGGTCTTACAGGGCGAAGGCTATAGCACCCCTATTGTGGCTAGTATAAAAATAAAAAAAAATGTCACAGAAATAAAATGGTTATTATTGGAAATTAAAAAAATATAAACAAGGCAACGTGGCACCTTATTCCGTCTAAACAAAAAAGAAAAGAACGAAGAATGTTCAAAATTCGGGAGAGCGTTTTTAAAAACATTTATTTATACAGAAAGCAAAATAAAGTTTTATTTATAAAGGCTGGAATAATTAAGAGCGTATTTTACAATATTACAATCGAATAAATAGAGCTTTCGCTGCGGTGTTATATTCGCTTAGCTTTGGGCTTCGTCTTTTGGAAAAAGCTTCAAGATTTTCTTCTTGGGAGGTTTCTTCTTTGGATGCGATTTTCTTCATTTCTCGTAACTTTTCCAAGAAGAGCTTCTTAATAATGAAAACTAAAATTAGAACCATGATTATTTCAAAATAACATTTACTTGGAACTTATTTCTTTCTTCTATCGCTGGTGTTATTTTTTCTGCTAAGTCTCTTAGTTGGTATATTTCGTCAATATTCAATTTTGAAGGACTGCGGGTATCCAGAACTTTCATTGCGTTCATTTCCGTCAATTGGACTTTCGGTAAAAATATTGGTTTTCTGAACTACATTTTTACATCGTTGAAGAATTTTTCTTCATTAGTTTCTATTTAACAGTTTACTGGTATCTTAAGCAGTACCGGTACTTCGGTTTGCATATATCGATCCGTGTTACACTTGTTTAGCAGTTTTTCAGGCTTCTGTGGCGGAACAAGAACTAAATTTTGAGTGATTTGTTCTATAATTGCTTCGGACGGGTTAATTTTCGTAATGGGACAGTTTTGCATTCCAATGTCGTCGAATAAGTTCTCCACGCGTACATCTCGAGGGTGGGTTTCTTCTTTACAAAAAGTAAGTATGTTTCTACGGTGAATTGTCTCTTCTTCCCCGCTTATGCCATATATAAAAATTGATTGGTTTTGGATTTGGAAAATATTTCGGATTTTAATTTTTTTTTTTAAATCACTTTCAAGTCGACAAAATTTACCTGAGATAGAAAGATAAAATGTTTTTAAATTGTGTCTTTTGATTTTCTTTATAGATTGATGCTAGATATTTAAGCATTTTATTCAACCCCGAAATCGGTACTCTTTAAAAGTTGTAGCCTACCACCGAAATCAACTAAATGTTCGTTTATCAACGGTCTTGTTCTAGTTAATTTCTGAATTAGATACTCTAAATTTCTCGTATCTGCAAAGCATTGGACGAGCGTATCTTTTATGCTTAACCAATCTGTCAATTCTGATCGGTTGCCGACCATTAACTCTGCTTTCCCTACTGGTTTGTCTATGATACAATCGAAGCTATGACTATTTAGTTCCGCATCTTCTAAACTAACGTAGGAATTTATTAATCTCTCGCACTTGACAATAAATTTGTTTAGCGAGTCGCTATTTCCGTCGTAAGATTTTATGTTGTCCATCTTTGATTTAAAAAGATTCCAATTAAATCTAGGTTCCGCACTACTCGTACTATCTGAGCTTCTCTGTTGGGTCATTTTTCTAACTCTTGTTTTTTTTTTCTTTCCTAACTTTAAAATTTGATTGAATTCTTTTTCGAGATTTTCGGTTTCAGAATCGCTCATTTATTGATTTCATTTGATTTTTTTCTCTTTTTCCTAATCTAATCCCGTGCAATGCGAGCCCTAAAAATGCCTTCAAGTGAAGTTATACAGAGGCATCGGAGGGGCCAACGGAAATGGCACTTACGGTTTCGTATTTCTCCGTTTCCTTTCCGGCTCAACTTTCTGACTCGTCACATGCGGGTTGTATCTTTACATAGACCGTCGCTCTGCTTCCCTTGCTGCTGATTCTGTGCTGAAGGATTTGAAAATCCACGTGGTGAGTGGCCAAAAGTTTCAAACTTTCCACGATTGGCGATTTCATAGAAAGTCCCAGAAGATTCTGGTTAATTGTCCACCACTACTACTGCACTTAGAAAATCCGTTCCGACTGCGCCACTTAAATATTAAAAATTCGGGAAAGCGTTTTTAAAAATATTTATTTATAGAGAAAGCAAAATAAAGTTCAATTCGGACTAGCCGATACAAAGGCTGGAATAATTAAGAGCAATTTTACAATGTGACAATCGAATAAATAGGGCTTTCGGTGCGGGGTCAGCGAGGCGTTATCTTCGCTTAGATTTGGGTTTCGTCTGCATTTTTTATTAACACGGCAAAAAAACAGTCTCAGCAATAGCGAACATGGATTGTTAGACTTTTTTTTATGTGCCCCACAAATGTAAGTTGTACAGGGTGATCCGAAACATATTTTATTTATTTATTTAGCGTATGCCAGGTTTGCATGTGTGAATAGCCAGGAGATCCAATACATAGCCAACTTTGTAGACTATTTAGCCGTGATAACGATCAGGTTGCCTAGGGTGCACCACGTGGAGGCTAGTCTACTTTGCACCCCGTCCTGTTCTGCCTGTATTTTCCGAAGTTTTCAGATGTATGATACCCGACATAAACATGATCTGTGTGTTCCTTGTCATCGTGTACACAAAACTTATTCGTCTATTAGCCATATTTTCTAGAGAGATACTCACTATCAAATAGTTTTTCGAGATTTTTTGAAAGGCAATGTGATACAATTTTCCTCCAAATTTTTTTAAGAGCAGGAATTTATCCATAGCGTTTAAAACAAACAATTTATCCAATAGATTATTTTTCTAGATTATTGTTCTTATTCTTTGAACTGCGAGGATTGTAATGAAATTCATATCGGACAGTCTGGCAGGAAGATCATAATCCAGATTAACGAACATATCTCAGTTTAGTAAAAAGTGACCCTGAGGTGACATAGACCAAATCTGCTTTAGCTACTCATCTTTTGTCCACGGGGCATAAATTTTCTTCGAAAACAAAAATGTTATTGTTTTATACGAGTGCCCAAAAACTAAAAAACTTGATCTTCTGGAGAATTTAGAAATGACCAGAGCCAAAAATAGTCCCATTTTGAGCCCACATTAATTTTTGATAGTATAAACTACAGATTGCGTTGTAGGAATCCCCTTATCCATTTCCAACCTGATATCTTTGTTTCTACACTGCGCACAGTGCAAATCTCTAGAAGTTGGACCAAACAACTGTCTTTCCATATCAATTGTATGACCTATAATGGTTCGGCGCATGTCATGCGCGGCACATAAGTGCCTTTTTTAATGGCAGATTTTAGAAACGGAACTGAAATAGCCTTTAGAGAGCAGCAAACACGGCTATTTATTATTTTGTTGTGATATTGTGGTAAACATGTTTAAGACATAATAGAAAATAATTTGAGCAATCAACACTTGGGATCTCGTCTCAGACAGCATCAATTCAAGAATTTTGTTTTGCACAATTAAAAGGAAGTTCAATGTTTTCTTTTAAATGACTAGTTTTATTGTATTTAGGAGTCTGAAAATGCCAACCAAAAATATTATCATTATACAGGGTGTTTTCTAATTGAATGTCAATAACAAAGAAGACGATTTTGGGGTCCATTTTTAAAAGAAAACTTTGTATGAACATATGTTCTAAACGTCTTAACTTAGCAGAGTGGTAAAATTTTTCAAAAAGAAAGAGGCATTGGCAGATATTATTGGTACGCGACTGATTTCTCTTAAAATAAAAATTATTCTTACAATCTCCAATCATTTCTAAAGAAATTTAATTTTTACATTTTTGTCAATCCGAACTACGTGCACGTAACTTACGTAAACCCTAAGGGGTATTTTTAAAATTTTCGTAATTGTTTCTTAGCATTTTAGTAGGCTGTGTTTGTGAGAATTACTAATTCTGTTATCAAAGCAGATGTTTGACAGGAGTTTGACCGGTACCTGTAGGGCCCATGGGAGTGCCAGAACTCCAGAAATTGAAGAAGCAGATTTAAATTCTATTAATCAAAATCCTTAACTTAATAATAATCTGAACATCTCGCGCGTCTCAGTTTGATACTAATACTAATACTAATACTAATACTAATACTTTATTTCTTTAGCATAAATTTATAACAGAAAACAATCGTATATACATTTTAAATATACGAGCCAGTAGCAAAATTTAAATAAGTAAAAAGTACAAAAATACGTAGAACAAAAGTATATCACAACAGAACAATTATAAAGGAAAAATCACAATAACATTTCAGACAAAACGTAAGTTTTAATTAATCTTTTAAAAGCATTTAACTTACCATACTCTTTAATATTAAATATAATATTTTAACATATGTGTAGTTTTACATCGATTGACTAAAACTAGGATGAAATCAGTACGGTTTCTAGTGTTATAGTCATGAAAATTCTTAAATTAATTGACCCTATTACCAATGTATAGCGGCATCATTTTATTTTTTATCTTAAATATACTTTACTTTTTGCTTTACAGTTAATATTTGTATCACATTTAACCTAATCATCACAGGTGAATATCTATTTTTCTATTTTAGAATTGCGCGCATTGCTCTGTTTTGTATTTTCTGAAGTTTCGTTAGTCTATAGTTAGACAATAAAGTTGATCGATATTGCAAATGTGGCGTCGCCAAAGTAGTGTAAAGCAACAATTTTGTACAACTTTTTAAATTTTTGCCTGCTCTAGATATGAAACCCACCTTTTGTGAGAACTTTCTCATTATATAATCACAATTCCCAAATATATTATATGTTTCTCATATTGCAAATTAACGGCATTTATATTAATATTAATACTCTCCAGATCCAAACCACTCAATCTATGTTTTTCGCCACACAAATAGAACTTCGACTTCATGACATTAATGCTAAGATCATTATTGCACAGCCATACAATCACTCGATACAATTTATTATTGATATCTCGCTGCGTCTCTTCGATGTTCTTACC